CTGTGTACTGCTCGTTTTTAATTATTTCCTGTCATTACATTGTAAGGCTTTATTTTTCAAAATGTTTCTTTTTTTATTTCATAATAGACTCGACTTTGCTATGAAAGACTGAAAATATTTTCAACCGTTAAGTACAATTTTGTCCGGTACTTCATTGTGAGTTTCCCTCTTGTTGACGAATCTGTAGTTTTGTCTTTTCCGATCGATTTGGCCTGGCTATCCTCATTAGACGTGACCTTAACAGCGAAGATCGGCAGACCAAATTGACATTGGTTGACAACAAAAATTGGCGGACCGAGTTTATCCACGAAGATCGAGGTGGTTGACAGAGGCCCGTACCTATCACCCTAATATGCCTATTCTTTATTACTTAAAGGCCTACTCAAACGGACGTTGTTGTCAGTTTTTGTCTGTTGTTGATGATGCGTTTGACGGGCTAAAACAGCGAGTGTAGGCAGTCTATTTTGATCGAGACGATCAAACCTCAAATTCGAAGGCCATTGTCGCTGTTTTGAGATGTCGAACGGGTTTCTGCTTCACGCCATCTTCAGTTACGAACCAGTGTTTCTTTTTGTACGTTTCTGTACAAGCCCAAAATATGAGCAATCAAACTCATTAGGGAAGTATACTTCGGCCTTTCAAGCAGAAATACATGCCATCAACGCTTGTGTCCTGGAAAATCTTAAAAGAGGTTACACTGACAAAAAGATCCTCATAAGATCAGACAGCCAAGCAGCTATTAAAGCATTGGCATGTAAAAGAATTACATCAAAACTAGTCAGTGAATGTATCCAAAATCTCCAAAACCTGGGAAAACACAACAACCTGATGATATCTTGGGTGCCAGGGCACAGGGGAATTCTGGGTAACGAAGAAGCAGACAAACTGGCCAGAGGAGGATCTGCAAGACCATACATAGGCCCCGAACCTATCCTTGGGATAACAAAAACAAACATAGAATCCTCCATCGCAGAATGGATCCAAACAAAACAAAGAGAGAAGTGGATAAACTCTAGCGGTGCTAGACATAGTAAACTTATGCTGAAACAACCCTCACCAAAATTGGCAAAAACACTGCTACAATTGGAGAGGGCAAAACTCAGAGGAGTGGTGGGACTACTAACCGGTCACTGGTATCTGAGGAAACATCTACACAACATGGGTATATACAATAATGATCCCATTTGCAGATTATGTAATGAGGAGGAGGAAACAGCCACTCATATCATCTTCGAATGCGAAGCAACAGCTCAATGGAGGTTTAACCTAACGTACGAAAAAGACTCAGGGAACCAAATTGCAGCAATAACAGTCAATGACCTGATACTTCTGAGAAGAAGGATTGAGTCTATTGACTAAACTAGGGAACTGGGAAGGTACAATAAGCTAGAAGGCTGCAGTGCCTGGGGAATACAAGCCCCGCTTCCCAGCATCCCTTCCACCATACAATACCATATGTACGTTCAAAAGTGGAAGGATCGTGCCTTTTGGTTTACTGTGTACGTCGAAATGGAATTGGTTGTCAGTTTTTGGTCATTGTTAATTATGGCAAACCCTCCACTTAATATGTCGAGATGCCGAAAAGCGGATGATGAACACAAAAAAAAACATAAGTGAACCAGGTTGATCGGAGACGATCAAACTATAAATTCGCAGCTTATTGTCACTGTTTTGGGCTGTCAGACGAGTTTCTGCTTCACGCCAGCTTCAGTGGGCTTGTGTGTTCGCGTTTACTCGGGAGTACAAGTATATTGTACAATATTGCTGTTGCTCATGACAGAACCACCACTGAAGATGGCGTGAAACGAGTCTGACAGCCCAAAACAGCGACAATATGTTGCGAATTTGTACTTCGATCGGTTTTTGATTATACTCGCTGTTATGTCTTTTAGATACCTTTTACCTTTTCTCCATCGTTAGTAGTGGTGCATTAAGATCAACAACTGACAAAAACTGACAATTCTGTTTCGACATATACAGAAAACCAAAAATAACACTTTTTCCACTTTTTACGCATTTAAAAAAAGACCTGACTAAAAAGGAACATAGACCCACCACTGAAGATGGCGTGAAGCCAAAATGCGCCTCACAGCCCAAAACAGCCACATTAGGCGGCGAATTTGTTGTTTGATTATCTCCGATATTCCTAGTCCACCTATTTTGCTGTTTCGATCCGTCAGACGCTTTTTTTTTTGGCAATCTTTAGTGGCTGTAAGCAGGATGAGGGGAAGACTATCCTGAACAATGTTTTATGGTTGCGCTCCTCCGACATGTCTGTTCCTGTGATTCGTTGTGACATGAAGTGAAAAACATAGAAATTTGAAGTTGCTAGTTTAAAAACAAAACCTGTTGACTTATGAGTGAGTTCATACATCGATTTTTTTCCGTTATGGCTTATTGTCCTAGGCAATTTGCATATAAGGAAAAATTCGTCAGCCCTGGTACTTCGATCACTGCCTACGATCTCGATGCACTTTTGTCATATACTACAGGCTAAGAAATTAATAAAAAAGTATTTTTCCTCTTCGCAAAAATAAAAATAAAAGCTGAGAGATTTATCAAGTCGCAGCCCGGAAAACAAGCGGAACTTACTTTTTGTCGTCTAGTTCAGACTATTCTGACTAGTTCAAGAAAAGCTTCTGTCACCGTATATCACTCGCTTCCGGCACACAGCAATTAGGTTTGTTTCACATTAAAAAATCACAATTGCGTCTTCCTCAGAGTAAAATTACTTTCACAAATTCCAAATACTTGTGAATTTGTATTTTAGGATAAATACTATAACTGAACATCGTATACAGGGTGAATTGCTACTCGTGCTACAAACTTCTCCAGTAGATTCTTCACCCTAAAATGAACAAAAAAGTTCATATTGTCCATGGTCCGATTCTCAACCATTTCAGAGTAATTTCGCTTTTTATCGATTTTGAAAGATATCACGTCCTGGCGTCGGAAAATCGTGATATCTTTTAATCTAAACATTTCTCTTAAAATCTATAAGCACCGTTGAAATCCCCGTTAATTTTTAGAGAGAATCAAAATCATAATTCCATTGAAATTTTTTAATTTAATTTAATGCCCATTTAGTATGTAATGCTTAAGAAGTTTACAAACAGCTAGAAGGTCAAGGAAGAAAGACCCAAACGTTTTGCCACCTTCATCTTCTTATTGAAAAATTAACGGGGATTTCAACGGTGCTTATAGATTTTAAGAGAAATGTTTAGATTAAAAGATATCACGATTTTCCGACGCCAGGACGTGATATCTTTCAAAATCGATAAAAAGCGAAATTACTCTGAAATGGTTGAGAATCGGACCATGGTCAATATGAACTTTTTTGTTCATTTTAGGGTCAAGAATCTACTGGTGAAGTTTGTAGCACGAGTAGCAAGTCACTCTCAAACATTAGCAATCCTTGAACCACCATTTTTTCTCTTTTTGTCATCAACATCTTGGTCTCACAACCACTAAATAAGAAAATGACGAGTGCGTTGGAAGCGTTATTAAATCAGGTAGTTTTCCTCAAATTTGCTGCCTTCTGAGACTAAAATTAGAAACTCTGGATTACTTTATACACTTTCCGATTTACACAATTTTCCACTCTTTTTGTAGTTCTGGCTGAAATAAAACACAAAAAATTAGCCCAAACATTTTGCCACCGTCATCTTCTTATTGAAAAATTAACGGGAATTTCAACGGTGCTATTAGATTTTCAGAGAAATGTTTAGATTAAAAGATATCACGATTTTCCGACGCCAGGACGTGATATCTTTCAAAATCGATAAAAAGCGAAATTACTCTGAAATGGTTGAGAATCGGACCATGGACAATATGAACTTTTTTGTTCATTTTAGGGTGAAGAATCTACTGGAGAAGTTTGTAGCACGAGTAGCAATTCACCCTGTATAATGAGTGCGGCTCCGAGACTTAATTTTTTTTGTAATCAAAGCCTTATCAAAAGGAATATTTATATGTTTTTGTCGAATGATCTGCGAATACACTAGAATCCATTGAATACGAGATCCACATTGAATCCATTGTACTTCCACCGTCTGAGGCTCTGACCAAAAAACACAGGGAGGCACACGGGGATGAAAGAATAACATCCACACGCATTTAGTTGCGGATTCGAGGGTTAAGGATGTCGGAAACAGTAATGGGTAGAAAGAGTCGACAGATTTGAAGATTAGTGCGATAATCCTGAGTGAAAACGGTGATCATTTGCGATTGGGACTTCAGTATCTTACCCTTTGTCCTATCTCTTCATTAGGTGGCAATAGGTAGAAAGCGAGCCAGGATAAAATTATCTCGCCTTCTACGATACTAAGAAAACAAAGCAAGAGAGAAAAAACCCCGAAATTTTTTATGCTGAGAACGAGTTGGACATACAATGAGACTCCAGGGAGATTGAAGGTCATCCTTTAATGACCCACGGGTCATAATAACAAAGACCCTAACATCTATCTGTGCTATCCATATTTAGCAAATCCCACTTGGACGCAATTTCAAGATCCGAAAACCCTTAAAATGTAAAAGCCGAAAATAGAATCCAATACGTAAACCACCAACCCAAAAAAAAATTCTAATACTAAATTTTTGCTTGAAAAAAAAAAATCAACTTGGGACATAGTTACGACAAATCTATGAACTTCGGACACTACAGTTTAGGTGTAATGAAGGGCAAAGGCCGAAGAGGAAGAAGCAATCAAATCACTTAATCTCCATGGCTACCAGTGGATACCAAACGGATTAGGTTGTCAGCACCGCTTAACCGTCCACCAGCTTTACCATTTCTCCTTAAGCCTGGAATAAACCAGTAAAAAAAATTCCAAAGTATAAAATCCACGTCTTGATTATTAGCCCGAGTGTACGCCGATTAAAAAAAAAAAGTATGACGTGATAATAACGTATCATCAGAAAGTGATTAATTAATTATACATATTTATTTAATACCTGTTAATTTCCTGTCAATAAATAATGTTTTGCTTTTTTTTTTTCAGAAATGCCGACACAAGTACCTCCACTCACCCCTGGGACCAACAAGAAAATGACTGAAGCCTTAAAAGCCTCTTTTGCCTCTTGGGAGAAAGAACAGATAAAACTGAACATTTTGAAAGGTAAGAGGATAAATAATAGTATTGCATATTTCAAATTATAAAAAATATATAGGTTTATAGTTACCTATCATCTTGGTTTGCCTATCCTCGCTGATTTTTGTCAGTCAGACGCGTTTTACCCTCTTCATAGTTTCGGTGATGCCCAAATACTGAAGATGGCGAAACGCGTCTGATTGACAAATATCAGCGACGGTAGGTAACTATGGAGCTATAGTTCTATCACCCCGCAGACCACAGGAGGACATTTCACAATATAAGAAATATATCAAATAGTTTAAATTATTATTAAAATAATCGCAACTAAAGACTGATGTGTATCTCTTAACAGAATGAATTATCAGTATTAATGAATCATCAATAGTAATCAATAATTTAACTTTCTCTTTTGGAAAATGTAATAAAATTGAAATAGAACATTTTCAAAGTATTTGAAGTTATATTCTGTGGGTAATTTTTTACATTTAGGAGGCTTATTTTATCGAGTTTAGTTTCTGTCCCCTGTATATTTTTTGTTGGGGCGATTTTGTGAAAAACCCCGAAGCACGTAAACTCTTGATTTTTTGTCTAGTTTCTCAAGAGTTAAGAAGTTTTGATCACCAAGTTAATGGGATACGGACAGGAATTTTAACTATTTCAAATTGTAAGGATACTCATCACTGAACAGTTTTTGAAAGGATTTAGCCTGATTCATGATGATGATGAAAACGGTGATGGATACAAGGAAGTGGGGTTTTTGTTCCCCGAGCACTGCAGTCTTCTTTTTTTGAGAATTTTTTACGTGCTAATGCTTTAATAGCCCCTTTGCTATCCGATTTTATAAGGATTTTTTTTTGTCAGTGTAACAAGATTTAAGATTTTCTAGGGAACAGCAAGCGTTGAGCCATGTATTTCATCTTGAAAGACCGAGGTGTACTTCCCTAGTGAGTTCGATTGCTCATGTTTCGGGCTTTACAGAAAACTCCTGATCCGGATCCTTCATCTGTATTCTATATCATTGTATCCGATTTCTTCCTGAATTCTTCTTCTCCTTTGTAAACTGTTGAGACTTATAAGATTTGGGGCCAGGTGCAAATTTCGGTCAAAAATTACAGCCTTAATCAACTTAATATTTGACAAGTAAAACGCCAATAAAAATTGATTTAGTGACATTTGAGGGTTTCCCCTCAAAAAAAGATCAACCACGGAAAACTTGAAGTTTCTTTTTATACCCATTCAAAAAATGGTTGAAATATTTTAATGCATAGTTCACTTAACTTAAAAGTAATCATATCAAAATTTAGTTTTTACGTTCTTTGATTTTTCCGAGCAAGGCTTAAAAATGTCTCGAACATTACAAGAGAAAGTCGATATGATTCTGCAGTGGGAAAAGTAGGCCGAAATTATGTGAATAACGTAAGAACTGATACTCTATGTTCAAAACGGTTTAAACGTTGAATGAAACGTCAAAATACCTTTAAAAATGTAAATTGATGAGTATACTGGAATTTGAAATAGTTGTTTCTATCCGTATCCAGTTATTGTGGAGTTAGATCAAAACTTTATGGCTCATGACAAACAAGACAAAAAATAAAAATGTATACGTACATTTATTTTACCCAAAAACGCCCCAATAAAAAAAACTATAGGCTGGATCTTTACACTGTATACATTTATCATTGGTCTGAATCTGTTTAAATATTATGATACGACCTTCCAACTAAAGTAAACATTTCCAGCCTATTTGTATCAGCATTCACTTTCGGATTGATAGGTCCTTCAGTGGAAATTCCCCTCGCTTTGTAGATTCATATCGAAACAATTTTATTTAAATGAAAATCAGGACCTCTTTATACCCCGATTATTTTAAAGAAGAAGAAAAGTGATTTGTGAAGTGTTCTGTTGATAGGGGCTGAAATCGCCGAAAAGGCAATTTACCTGTCAAATACCGTGATTAACATACTCGACAAATTGTGTTCGTAAATAATGATGACTGCGTGGGAAACCTCGGAAGGACATCTGCGAATGCATAGTTTCAACGCGAACAAAGGGTATTGAAGTGATCCGGCGTGAAGGGCAAATTAGTCAACTCCCTGAAAACAATTTCTACTTTATGAGATACAGGTCGAAAGACGACGAATGATTTTCGGGATGACAGTGAAGTTATATTAACGGGCCGAAGAAAGAAAAACAAAACAAGCCATCGTGTTTATTAACCGAACCAGATGATTGAGAGTGTGACTGCCCTTGAAAATCGGCCATGCTCCTTGAATTAAAATGAGAAGATTCGCCTTACATTGTCAATGCGACACCGTCGCTTTTACAATGTAACAGTTTTAGTTTTAATTTTTGGATTATTTTATCTGAGAAAGGGTCAACCTACCGCCATTATACGATTGCTTTGCAATTAACTCCAATTACATTGCACGCCGTTTGATTGCAGGATGGATGATGTCAAAACGTCAACAATAGAAGCAAATTATTGCATTATAATAACATTACAAAAATATATCTGTTATGAATTCTTGGATTTGTTTGAAATCTTCAATGTTCTACGCCTGGCAGGTCCACCCAGTGTTCACGATTTTTGTGTTAATCCTATTAAATTTGTTAAGTCTTGTTAGATCTAGAAATATGGTGACGTAGCAATGTTAGAATCGGTTACTCAACATTGCTTGATCTAAGGGAGGATCTGTGTTACTTGTTAAATCGAATCAAATAGTAGTGAAATTTAGAGGTTAGCCGTTAGGACTTAAGTACAAACATGGTCGGTACGAATTGAACATTGATTATTTTTTTTTATGTATTTTTATTTTTAAATTTTATGATTAAATTCGACCAGTAGGGATGTTGATAAAGGAGGCGGCCAGAAGGCCTTCTGCACCTCGATCTGAGTAGATCTATTGTGTTCCTCTATTTTTAAAACTCATTGGCCAGCTTCATGTTGTTAACTAACCTCTATAATCTTGCCAGCGGCTCCTTAGTAGCTGGTAGGCGCCGATCATGATTGCGGCTTTTCCTCTTCTAGTTGCAAGGATTTGCACTTTCATAAACCCTCACCAAAACATAGAGTCTGCGGTCTCGAATTCGACCAATACATTTTTTTAAATGTTTGACCTATCCTTATACTAACCGTTATTCATAGTAGAGGCATGGGATCTTCATCAGCTGAGTATGTATGAAGACGTTCCATCCACCTATCGTATGCAGTAAGGACGTTTATTAATTTGCGTACAAGTTATTCTCCTTCATATCTGGTCAGTTCATATATTTGTCTTTGTGTCGGATAGCGATTTACTTCTAACTTCTAAACATTCAACGAGCATTTTTCTCATTCCATCGAGCTCTTCTCGTACAAATACAATATGCATTTTGAATCAATCCATAATCTTTTGACTGATGTTTGGCAGTTTGAAAAAAAAATAGTCTTCCTTCTCAACTGAAAACAACAGCTTAATCTACAACCATAAATCTAAAAAACTGTTATACTTTAAACAACACTTTTTGTTTCTGCTGTCTGATTTAACAAGTCTAATTCAAAAGGTGAATACCTCTAATATCTATATACCTAAGACCTAAATAACACGACAGCAAACCTCTCCACACAGTCTGACATCATAACAACAGAACCAAACCGAGAACCGAGATTATTCTTGCATATTGCATGTTCTTGTTCGAGACGTCTGTCTGCTCTCAGAGGTGGTCTAAAACCGAGTTAACACCGTTGTTGCATTTATAGTCTTAAGCAGACTATACTTTAAATATTTCAAATTCGGTAAAGAGTTTTTGTTTGTTTTATAAATGAAGTATGGTTAATATGAATATAATAATTTGATAACATTTGTTGGAATTCATTATCACTTGCCACTAACCAAGATACGTCTTAATGCTAGATAAATTTCCCATATCGGAGTCGTTGGTTCTTTTTCCCTTTTGTCCAACGCTAATCAGCAGCTCGAGCAGATAAAAGCCCTCTGGTGATAGTCGAACGTCCAAATTTCTCTAACTACTGATAAAAGAGGGTTAACCACTATCTGCTGCTTTTTTTCCTATTTGACGATAAACTTTTTGCAAGGGGTGCGGCCCTGCGCACGACCCTTGTCAAATGCCTGGACAAAACGGTTTTTACCAACAATTTAATGAATCGCGCGATAATTTTTGTTTTACTAAGACTTACTTGGTTTGCATTTTGAAAATTTGCAATGAACTGAAGTTTTTGACATACTGACTGTGACGTGCATAATCCATTTACCATATTTGAAGGGAACAAAATGAGCAAATAACATAAATAATATAAATAACAATAAAATATTTATATAATATCACCAATAATAACATATGTTTATGGTCCGTGCGTTAGTGTGTAATTTAAAAGATCACTTGAAGATTTTTCGCCGCCCGCCAACAATACACCCATAAATTTAGCACGTGATATTCAAGAATTTTGATTTGAAGAAGTAGAACATTTTTGGCGTCTACATCTATTTTTAATTGTTTCTTACCTCATGCAAATTACACCATCCATATTTAAAGGTTTGTTGTATGTTTAGTTTCTCACACTATACATTCACTCTACTAAATACAATCACGTCCGTCTTATCGCAAGAAGTTAGGCTCCAGAGTCTACAACAGCTAGGTCATTACAGCCCCCAACCTATTTTATACCTAGACACTCACATATTCTTTCCTGTTTACGTACTATTTACTCGGAGTGGTGCGGTATGATATATACCCTTTACACATACCATATTAACTGATCAAATTAATGGTCGATGGGTACTCAATATTCCAACATCTGTCCTCTCACTCTCCGTATCCATTGCAATTATGTAGGTCTTATCAGCCCTTAAATCAAAGCGCACTCACACTCTACTCACCCTTAAATATATCCTTTCCTGTTCACATATAAAAGTAAATTAAGTATACTCGATATTCCACACTCTCACTAGACATTCAAACCAATAAATACGAGATAATCATACATAGATCAAACACAAAACGAGATATCTATAAAGTACTATACA